TTGATCGATGGCTTATTGGATCTTTTGATATCCTTCATTATTCCAAAATCCGAAGCCATTTTCAATGGTGATTTAAAAGATTGTAGAAAAAATTATTTTGTGGGATGTATTGCATGTCAAATACTTTTTGTTCAATGTTGGTGATGTTTATATAGTCATGTGTATGTGCCATATGTCTGGGAAATAAAAAAATATTTACGTAAGGTATTTAATATGATCCGATCTGATTTTTTTTATTATGATTATGATTGACTTCTAAAAATATGTGTTATTGGTTTTATTAAGAAAATAAAAAAATATGGAACGTGATTCACTTGTGAGGGACGAACGAATATTTAGAAGATTATGTAGCAATAAATAATGGAGTTTGTTACGATGAAATTTGGTAAGACTTTTTGGATAGATTGAAAAATATTATTTTTTTTGATATTTTTCTATTTATTTGGACAAATCCAAAACTTTAATTTACGAAATTATAATCTTTAATTTTTTGAAACGTGTAAAATTTTCTAAGATAACTTCTATAAAATAAAATATGATCAAATCATAATTGATTTTTATGCCTCAATATTTCAAATCTAACCATACAAATATGGTATAATTATTTACAAAAAATAATAATTTTTCTCAATTAAAAATAAGCAAATCATTGAAAATAATATATGTTTTAAAATCTAATGAACAAAAAATTTATGTTTAGTATAGATGACTCGACAATATTATTGATTAATTTATAAATTATGACTAATTAATATTAACACATATGACCAAAAAAATTCTATATATAATATGATGATTTTTTAAGAAAATACAAAAGTTAAAAACATATGAAAGAACAATAAACAAATAAAAAATATTAAATCTGACCAATGATATTAAAAATTACTAAGTTGTAACACGTACTAATAAATATTAAAATAAATAAATATGTTATTAATAAAAGTAAACATAAACCTTTTAAAACTTATATTTATCGATGTAAACGAGCAGGGTTGTTAAATGCTTGTTAATTTTTGTACTTATTAATTCTATATGTAAATTTTAGGATATTAATTCAGTATGTAAGTTTTAGGTTATATATAATAGATATTTCATTGGTATAGCTATCATTAACTATTCCAACAGAGATCAAATTAAATTACATTGAAAATTTTGTGAAATAAATTATTACTATATAGTTAATAGAAAAAGTATACCATCAAAATAACATAATGTCATTACACTTTATAAATTATACTTTACATAATTTGTCATGTTTCTCACTTGTACTACATTCTAACACATCAGTATAGTCACAATAAGTTAAAAAATATTTAATAAAAAAAATGACGAGTTTTCTCAATTCAACATAAGAAAATCATTGAAAATAATATTTAGTTTTTAAAAAAAAATTATAAATAAAAAATCTATGTTGTAGTATAGCTGACTCGGCAATATAATTGATGAATTTATAAATTATGAATATACAACTAGAATTCCCCTTGCATTAGTTAAAAATGACAAAAAATATATTTTGAAGATATAGAAAAAAATATGTTGCAAAAGAGAGATTTGAAATTTTGAGATTTATTAAATTTTCTTTAGTTGTGATGCCTCGTTTATGTTATAACATTAATAAAGTTATGAGTTGAATTAAATTATAATTGGTTGAGTTGTAAATTAATTCATTATATATCTTTCTTACTTTCAATTTCATTTTTAAAGTAGGGGATAAAAATTATAAAAAAATGTTCCAACAAATTTTTATTAGATTCTTTACGCTATATGCTTTGGGATGGAAGGTTGTGCCGGATCTATAAAATAAACATAGATCTGCTCATGATTTCAATAAAATATTTTTGCTAGAATTATATTGAAAAATTCAAATGGGAGTAATAACATTGAAATATTCGTTAGGATTTTCGATGAATTTCTTTGTAATATATATATATATATATTTTTTTTGAAATTTTCGTTGGAATTTCCTCATTTTCTTGTAGTAAAGGCAGGGCTCCAAATCAATAAGAAAAATTTGCATTATATATAATATTGTGTGCAACTAATTATTATGAAAATTGTTGATAATGATAGAAAATATAACACATTCAATCTAATTATCATTTAATTTATGATAATTAGTAAACTATTTCAAAACAAATAAGATACATCTAGGTCAAAAAATCCTTAATTATTTTATTGGTATTATAATATCTAAACAAGGGGTGAGAATGATGAGAAAACATATAGCTCGCATTAAATCTGAAAGTAAAATAAAATAGTGATAAAATTAATTAATGTTCTATATCAATTGGAGCTAGGTAATGTGAAATATCAAACATACTTAATATGCACATTTATTTTAACTTGAACTTTTAAGTTCATAAAAAATATTTTTTTTTTGCATTAAAATTCACTATGTTAGTTTTAAATATTTTTAATTAAAAATTTAATTACTTTCTACCATTAATTTTTCAATTTTAAAATACTTATTATTTTTTCATTTGTTACCCTTTTATATGTAATATATCACATCATTTCTTTCCAATGATGTATATCAATTATCAACACGAATTTAAAATAATAAATAGACCTAAAAGTATCTTATAAAATAAATTATACATCCATGTTAAATAAATTCATTAAGTATTAAATAACATAATATAAACTTGTGGCATATTTTTCTTACATTGATCCGAAAATTCCTAAGAAAAAACAAACAATGGATGTAAACATACAACTATCATCAATATTAACCATGTGAATTAAAAGGAGAAATAAACGAGTTGTATGTTAAATTATTATTCAACTAACACGTAAATTCAATGAGTATGAAAATGAGTTAGTTTCTTAATATTTTCTTAAACATTGGAAAAAAATTCTAAACCTTTTAATCTAATAATCAGTATAAAAGTACATTTTTTATCAAATATATTATGTAAATCAATAAATAAATAAGTAATATTAAATTTTTTTTATCTTATGTGATTATATTAGTTGTTGCCTAATAAATAAGATATTTTGATAACAACGTCATTATATGAAACACGTACAAAAAATTATGCAATACATATAAATGTGCTATAATTCTTTTAAGAAATAAAGTGTTATATATCAATAGAATAAAAAACTAATAAAATAATAGTAATTCAATTGAAAAAAGAAAACGTCTGAAATTTCTTATACAAGTATGAATACCAATATGTAGAAATAAAAAATATTTTAAAAATAATACTTTTTTTGTTGCTAGCGTTTAAATATATGGACTCTGTAAGAAATTGGATCTCATAAATATTGATCCCATATTATCAATTTTTTATTTTAAATAATTAAAAATTTAAAACTTTATAATACATAATGTAGATTTTAATAATAATTTCGTAATAATAAAGTTCAAAGATGACTAAGAGTCATAAAATAGAATTCCAATTCTTCTCATCTCAAATATTTTAACAAATGCTATGCTTCTCAATGTTGTCTCATTGTTTTGTTTTGTTTGGTTTTGTCATTGGTGAAGAATCAAAAAATGATCTTTATCTTGAGTTTTCTGAGCATTATGTATGATGCATAAAATTGGACGATAAAAGCATTAAAAAGGTTATTGGACACATAATGTTACAAATCCAAACGAAAATGAAAGATATTAAGATAAATAATTCTAAAATTATTGCAATAACTAGATGGTCAATGATTTGTAAATAATAGATTATATAGTACGTCTATCTTCCAAATAAATAACATTGAAAATGAAACGTTGGAGCCTGATCAAAACATTTTTGAATGTTTGAATGAAGTTGACACGTCTTATAGGAATATTTATAATTTCATTAGTGTATTGTGCTTGAACATATGTGCAATTATTTTAGAATATGTACTTTTAGGTAATACGTGATGATTTCAAAAAATAATTTCGGGAAAAGTACGTGTAATAGAGATTTTGAAAAGTCAACTTTTATTTGGAGATGAAATTCATTCAAATCCGTATGGCGATACATCCATAGGGTAGGTATCAATTTGACTATATAGAGAGATAGTAATATAGTAGTTTATACAATGATAAAAAATAATCAACAATTTTAATGACACAATTGGTTATTTTATAGAGAGATTCATGCATTGTTAGTAGCAATATAAAGATAATACAACCACGAAGTTTCACTATATGTTTGCTAGAATATTTCTTAAGTGTTTGAATAAAGAAGACGTTTTGCCAAATAAATTAAGATGAATTTTGCAATACTATTGAATCAGCAATGCTTCTTATGAGGACGTCAAAACTAAAATGAAAGAGATTGTTATTGAATCATCTAACATAAACAAATAAAAAAACTAATGCATGTAAAATATATATTAGTCAATTTAGTTATTTAGTGTTTTTGTTCGGGTTGTAATATGTTATTTAATTCTTTTTATATTAGGACATCGTTAAGTTATTTTGGAAAAAACAAATTGTTCTACATTTTATTTCATTAATTTGATCAATATTTGTTTTATTCTTGCAAAGATATATTTAATAAATTAATTTATTTATTTTACAAAACTTAATCGGCAAAAAAAAATTACATTATGAGCTCATTGTTCTATGTTTTATTTCGTTCTTACAATGATATTTATAATAAGTTAATTAATTTATTTTATTAAACTTAATTCACAAAAACATTTACCACTACGTGCATCACACGTGCACTTTACTAGTATTTGTAAAAATATGGTTACCTAAATATTAGATATTTAGATCTGTCTTGCCGCAGTGTCAATAATGTTACTTTTGACCAAAAAAAAATCCTGTATTTATCCAATGCCTAGGCAAGAATTTTTCAAGTTCTTTTTCTTAGCTAGCTCGGTTGATTATTAATCCATGGATACATTATTATATATATAATAGCACAAAGTATAGGCCTCACTCATCAATTATTCTGAACAAAAATCCTGTATAAATGAAATCAAACACAATCTTGACCTTCTAACACAGACACACACATAAATGTCAGGTGTTTCACATTGAAACGCTCTCTACTACATATTCACCCAACCATTGTCCTCTTCTCATCACCACCACAAACATCAAACTCAACTAACAAAAAGAGAGAGATCAAAACAAAAAT